AGACAGACAGACAGACAGACAGATAGATAACAGCAGAGGGACTTGTGAATCGGTCTCTCAATTAAAACCGCCCTGGGAAAGCACTGCACTGTGGGGCGTTCACGGCAGCGAATGCAGCTAAAAGCCCACTTTGCCTACGACTGTCTAGGTGGACTCTAACCTCATGCTGACAGTCTGGTCAGGAGCCTGGGGGTGGCTGTAAGCCCTCCCAGTGCGTGCTCCTCCACCCACTGGGAGCCCATCCTTCTGTCTCTCAGGAGGGTGGGGAGGGGTTCGGGCTCATGTTCTCGCTAAGAAATGTCCAAGGAGATACATCCCCCGGAATGATAATGAGAGTAGTGATATCATGAGGGTAGGGGGAGGGTGGGGAGAGAAGGTGGGGAGAGAAGGTGGGGAGGGTGGGGAGAGAAGGTGGGGAAGGGGGAAACCGATCACAACGATCAACATATAACCATACACACACCCCGCTGAGGGGGATGAAAAACAGAAACATGGGTGAAGGGAGGCAGTGGACAGTGTAAGATATGAAAATAATAATCATTTATCATTTATCAAGGGGTCATGAGGGAGGGAGGGCGGGGAAGGGAGGGAAAAACAGGAGCTGATACCACGGGCTCAAGTAGAAAGAAAAACCTTTGGAAATGATGATGACGACATATGTACAAATGTGCTTGATACAACAGATGTATGGATTGTGATAAGAGCTGCAAGAGCCCCCAATAAAATGATTTATTAAAAAAGAAGTAAGATAGGATTGGGGCCATGGTAGTGGGGGGGAGCATTGAAGAACTAGAGGAAGGTTGTGGGTTTCAGCAGTGCTATACTGCACCCCGACTGTGGTGGTTCCTCTTCCTTGTGGTCGTTCTGACGGGGCTGTCCAGGGGGATGGACAGCAGAAAAGTGGGCAAAATGAGACAGCAGTCGGTGTAAAACATGAAAAAAAAAGACTAATTTATAAATTATTGAGGGGGCAGGGAGGAGGGAGGTGAAAATGAGGAGTTGATGCCAGGGGCTCAAGTAGAAAGAAAATGGTTTGCAAAAGATGACGACACCATATGTACAGATGTGTTTGACAAGATGGATCTATGTACGGATTGTGATAAGAGCTGTACAAGCCCCCAATGAAATAAAATAAAATTTTAAAAAGAAGAAGAAGAAACGTCCGGGTTTCAGTCCCATTTTGCCATTCTATGAATCTCTTCTATAGTAGATTTGAAAGGGTTTTTTACTGATTATTATTCTCCCAGGGTCAAACCCTATCCCTTGCACACCCTCCCACTGGTCTACTTTCATTTCTTCCCTCGTCTCTGCAGCCGGCCAACCAAAGACGGACCGTGAGGCCAGGGTCCACCAGGCATCCACTCCCTTTTCACAAGTTCTAGCCCCGGTGGTGAGAAAATGGAGGACAGTCTCCCTGTTTCTCCCAGTCTTGCATGCCCAGTGCTGCCCACAGGTGAGGAAGGAAAAAGGTGAGGGGGAGGAGGGAGGCAAAAGGTGGTGGGCATGGGGTGGGGATAGGGGGCGATGCTTGCCTAAGGATCTGATTCTTCAAGGCGCTGGCTGGACCAGGCTTGTTCTCCGGCCAACCTTGCAGATCATCCTTCCTCAGCCAATTCTGAAGCCCCTTTGAAATTCGCTTACGACCGTTCCCTTAGCAACCAGCAACCTGTATGTTTCACGGTGGGCTTCGCATTCAGAGGAACCCACATCTCCCTTGATTTGAAGCACAGATCGCCACCCAAGCTTGCATCCTTTACCAAAGCCCAATCACTGGAGGAAGGAAGCGCTGACCCAGAAAAGGGACCGGCTTCGACATCCATGGTGAGTGGTTTGTGAGGTCTTGTTTGGTTTTGTTTGGGATCGCGTCTCCAGAGCAAGCACCCCACACAGAAAAAAATGGAGCTGGCTTAAAAAGAACAGCAATGGTCTCTGTCCCGGGAGCCGTGAAGACAGCAACTGGAAGCGGAGGAACCAGTCGTTTACCAGGGCTCCGGTCCTGGCTCCTGGCTGGCCCACCCACTCCTCTTGGGAGCACCCCCTTCCTGCTCCATGGAACACTGTTGCTGCTGGGTGCCATCGAATCCTATTGACCCCATGTGACAGAGGAGAACTGTCCCCATCGGGTTTCCTAGGCTGGATTCTGTATGGGGGGCTGATCACCAGGTCTTTTTCCCAGGGAGCCACTGGGTGGGTTTGAACCATCAACCTTTTGGTACACAGCTGGGCACTTAACCAATGTGCTCCTCCATGACAATGCACATCCCACACACAAACCAGCGGAGGGCAGAGGGCTGAGGGTTGTGTGTTTTTAAAAACCAAACGGAAGTTTCTTAGAGGGCTGTGCCCAGAGTCGGAGCTCAATAAATATTTGAGTGAACATGGGCATGAAGAATGTACCTGAACGTTCTCCTCAGGACATTCTTCGGTGCAGTCACCTGGCGAGAACTCCTAAAGCAGCCTGATCTTGCAGCTCCAGGGCGAAACATGTCCTATTTATACCTGCGTTTAATCAATGTTTACTGTTGAGTCGTTTCTGCAATCGTCCGCGAGAACATTTCTGTCCTAGATTCTCAGCTGCTGGGCGCCAACAGGGTTGGCAGCCAGAGTCGCTTGACAGAGCCAGGAGGAGACAGGGGCTCAGTGACTCTTTCAGAGACTAGATGCAGCTCACTCCTTGCACCAAGAATGGTGCTGTGTCCTTTTAGCTCCACGATCTCGGTCAATCTCAGAGAATGTTCCATTACCGCTGAGGTTCCACCATGGTAGGTAATTTGCTAAAGGTCATTGTTTAGAAAAAAGTTGGTGGGGAGGGGGGGGGGGGGGGGCGAGCCAGGATTTGAAGCTCAGGCTGGCAGACTTCAACGTGAGCTCATTTCACCGAGCACCCCTCCCTCTCCATGCACACCTCTGGAGTTTTGCCTCCTTCTTCCCAGAAGGCAAATGTGAGAAACCACACAAGGCAGGCTGCAGGAAGAGGGCTAACCAAGTGAGTTTCCAGGGCACATGGCTTCAAACACCTGTCCCACTTCCATCTTCCCCCGAACGCCATGCTCTGGTTTCCATTTCCAGAAGACATGTAGAGAGTACATGCACAACCCGTCCTTTGGACACACCATCGATGGCACTAACTGTGACGAGGTGGCGATTGTTTGAATCAGTTGAGTAGCGATTTGTTGGGCTATAGAGTCTTGGACTGTTGAGGCAGGAGACATGGATTAAGCTCTTCAGACGGGGAGCCCCTCTGCTACAATCTAGGCAAGTGTGGCCGGACCGCAAGGTTTGCTGGATTTGGTGGGACTCGCCAAAGGGCATGTGGGCAGATCCTATCTCTTGTGCTTTGGTTTTCATCGTTTGCACGCATGCTTGTTTGAGTAGGCTCTTGAACGCTGCCGTGTGTCGGTTGGGTTGAGGGGACACGGACGTGTGCAGCCTCACAGAAATGCACTTGGTAGGACCTCCTCAGGGACCAGGTTGGTGACACTGAGAAACGCTCCCTGTGGTAGTTAGATGATTTCGTGTCAACTGGAAGGTGTAGAAAAGTGTAGGGGTGCAATCCAACCGGTCAATCAGGTCACACCCTGATGTGGCTTCCTTGGGGGAGAGGCCTTCTCACGAGGAGGACCCCGGGCACTTCCTTTTCTCTGTACTGCACCACCTTCCTGCTTGCAGGACTCTGGTGGCCACCTTGAGTGTCGCCGGTGCCCTCCATGTTCCCACCAACCGCAGATCCATGGGGCTTTGCACACACTGGTCTGTGATCCTCCTCGCATGTGGCTGCAGGAGTCTGAAAAGGGACTTAGGGATGAGGATTGGACCTCTAGACTTGAGTTGGACTGGGCTGGCATGCTTTCATGATATAGAATTACTTCTTGATATAAATCTCTCTCTTATACCTATACAAAGGTCACAGGATTTGTTCCTATTGTCAACCCCGCCTAACACATTACCCTTTAAATAAAATGGAAGCAGTCATTTTCAGACCCGGTAAAGCATTTGTTTTCAACTTCCTTTCCCCCCCTAAAAGACTCATAAACCTTAGAAGAATCAATGGTACTCAGGTGCGTTTGAATGGTATGACAGCAGGGTCCGAATGGCTGGCCTGTGTGGAGACCTGCCCATTCTGTCCCCCGCGGGGGACTTCTGGGACAGCTGGGACTTGACACGCATCAGCCACCCTGGCCTGCTGTCTTCCCGAAAGGCCAGGTCCTGACACTTCCATCCACCTTCCACCCGCATTGCATTTATCTCTCAGCCAAGGATGCGGATCTTACCGCAGCCACATTGTGCATTTCCTCTCTGTGGACCTCCCTTCCTTGGGACTGGAGGGAAATATTTAGAGAGAAAGAAACGGACTGAGTCATAGATGAACTTGTCCCTCAACACAACAGTTGGGTCGATGGTACTGATAGCTCCCTTGAAGCCCGCCCTGAATGGTCTTCCACACCAAATGTGCAATTAAAGCCCCAGAGGAGATCAAAGCGGGACTCACAGTGGATTTTGAAGTCCTTGTACTGTCTGTCCTCGATTGCTACCACGTACAAAGCTGCCCGGTCTGGAAACATAAGCCCTCCAGGTTTCTGTTGATGAATTGTGGAGAAATGGGTCTCGTAATCTAGTCACCTGACAAAGACATCACATTTTGAACTGCACATCGAGTCACCAGACAAGCACCCCCTTGCCAGCATTTCTCATTCCGCACACTGTTGCCTGGACCAGAGTGGTGGATAGCATGGCAGTACTCAATTTCAACTTGAGACCGAGAAAGATTTGGGGGACCCGGGGGGACTTAATAGAACCAAGGACGTGGGATGATGGGGGAACCAGTGGGAGACATTATGCTCTTTTCGCCTGGAAAAGCCGAGGTCAAAAGAAAGCTCGGCTCCTTGGCAGCCGTGCGTGCCCGAGGAGCTTGCTGAGCCAGTAGACTGTCTGGACAAGAGAGACCGGGAGTCAATGACAGCACAAGGGAGACCTACAGAAAATCGTTCTGATGGTTAGGACTGTCGGCCACGATCATTCTATCTCCGGCCATTTGTCTGCTTTAAAGGGGAGGATGTTGAAAGAAGTGATATTCTAGCCCAAGGCCTTTCTGAAGTCCTAATATTATTTTGATTAATTTAATATATTTAATTACTTATAGTATATGTGTCTATTTAGCCTGAAGGTCATGGGCATAACAGCTAGCAGACCAGTGAGGGGCAGCATGCAGAACACTTACCAGCCACTTGTCCCTGGCGAAGATCACCGTGTTGAGCATTGACTCATAGAACAGACAGTAGCCCATCCACTCACTGATGATGATATCCACCTTCTCCACAGGCAGCTCCACCTCCTCCACTTTCCCCTTAAATATGGTGATGACTGGAAAACAAGAACCCCAGGGCCACACTTTGCAGGAAGTAGGAAACACCCCACATCAGGGCTAGATAGCCAGGCTTTGACCCTGCTCTGAATCTACTTCTAGGGTATGGTATGCCTCACCCTTCACCAACCTAGTGATTGCTAAGAGAATTGAAAACCACTTGCCTGTTTTCCCCCCTAAAAAGCACCGAGCCAAGATCATAAGCCTGGTTCTGTGCTAAGCACCCGACATGGACCCCAGTCTCTCTGCATCCTTGAAGTAAGCCTTATCGTTATTATTACTGTTGTTGTTATTATTATGATTATTTGCATTTACAACTATGGAACTTAAGGCTAAGAGAGGTGAAGCGGTGGTGGTATGAATAGAGTCTAGGTGTGCTGTACCCCCAACACTCTGATCAAAGTCCCCACCCTGTGTTAAGTGGCTTCGGTGATTCACACCCAAGAGATTCTTTCCCCATTGGTCTTGCATTTGTTCACAGCCAGGGATGATCACCCGGTGGTTCATCTAGTTTTCATGAGGGAGGTAACTCGGGGCTGTGACAAACTCTAAGGTCAGAGAAAACCCAGTTCTGAGTGCTGAGTCAGATATCTAAGTCTTAGCCATATGAATTCACATGGGTGACTTGACCGGACTGAAGTTCACTTCCTCGCAGAAGAAGCCAGGAAATCCCCATCTCCTTGTGAAAGAACTAACGCGTGTGAAGTACCAGGCTCGTAATAGAGGCTGGGCAGAAAGTAGATCTTGTCCAACAGATTCGTCCTTGAGGACCCTCTGATGGAGAGATGCAAGGGGTAGGACCGGGGACACAATCCCTATGCTGTGTGGCCTCTGTTCACGAGTCACTACCAAGACTTTAAGGTCACCCTGGGGCAAAAGAAACTTCTCAGTTGGCTTTTTGGACACTTGTCATTAGCATGCACATAACTGTGGAGATTCTTTGTGCACTTGTTGCTGGAAAAATACAGCACAAGCTAGCTTAGATGCTGCTGTTAACTTACGAAGGCGACGCAGTTTGTCCCTAAATGTATCCTCAGAAAGGTTACACATATTCATGATCCCAAACGCTCATCCGCAAAGCTGCGCACTACGCCCGATCTGTGCTGGAAAAGTCAAATAATAGCCTGTATCCAAGAGTAAAAAGCAAAATGCCACATATGTCCGGGATCTAAGTTTCATGAAAGTTAATTCGGACTGGAGACTCCTCGGTGGGAAAAGACACGGAGTCCGTTGGCTTTGTGTAGCCTCTTCACAACAGTGAGTGCAGGTGGTAAACTGTCCGTCAGTGGCCGGCAATGATGGCTTGTTCTCTAACAGCTGGTATTTAACCAAGGCTTAATCAGGTACAGCTTCTTAGATAAGAAGTCAGACACATTGTACACACGCATGGTCCTTGGACACTCCAGAAAGAGACACATGTTGGTGTGGACTTCATGGTTATTTTACAGGAGCCCCTACTTCTAAAAAGTCAGAGCCAGAAGGGATGATGATCTTAACCAAAAGGCTTAGAGAGAGAGAGAGAGAGAGAGAGAGAGGATATGAGTGTGTGTGTGTGTGTGTGTGTGTGTGTGTGTGTGTGTTGAAGCTCTGGTTGTTCTTTGAGACTCTCAGACAGTATGGTGGAAATTCAGCCCAGAGCAGAGCCCAGGTACACAGAACGAATTCATAAGGCAACATGGTAAAAGATTTTTGAAAAGGCATATATAGTGACGAATGTATTTCTTATCCTGAGAAAGAACTGACAGATGCTCAACCCATCTTCCTAATGGTTTGCTAGTTATTTTTGTAAACATCTGAAGCGATTTGATGGCCTCTTCGCTCTTTTATCTTTTCCCATTTCCTGAAGGTTCTTCTCGAACGTCTGCACGTTGAGGCTCTGAGTTGGTTCCTTCTCCTGGATTAGAACCTTCTCTCCTGGAGGCCCAACAAGAGTCTTCTCTGACCTCTGGGGCCCCACCACCTTGGCCCTGTGTGCTAAGTCAAAGCTCCATCTTCCATGATTCAATGAGCAGGACTCTACTACCCTGTTTCCCCAAAAGTAAGACATCCCCCGAAAATAAGACCTACTTACAGCTTTGCCTCTTACTGAAATAGAAGGCACCCCCAAAAAATAATACCTCCCTGAAAATAAGGCCTCCTGAAGCTACCATACTCTGGACACTGGACTGTAGCAGTGGGTGCCGCCACGCAGCTCACTGTTGACCACAACCCAGCCGGAGCAGACAGGAAGTGCGAGGAGCCTTTTAATAAAACAATAAACAATAAATGTGTACCATATTCTTCTTCATGGAAAAATAAGACACCCCCTGAAAATAAGACCTAGCACATCTTTGGAAGCAAAAATTAATATAAGACGCTGTCTTGTTTTTGGGGAAACAAGGTAGGAGCTGGAGGAGACAGATAAGGACAAGAATGTATGGTCTGCTCTGATGCACAGGCACAGGTAGAACAATCCAGAATGTTGCCCCTGTTCTCTGTGCTAGTCCCTTTTCCATTAGCTGCTCTATCCTGATCAATACGGATACAACATACAGGGAGAGAGCTGCAACGGGTCACAGAACACCAGGAATTACAGTTTCCACTGCAAAAGAAAAGGCAGTAGGAGTCAATGAACCCTATAGTATGTCCGATAAGTTGGCCTTCCGCTCATTTAATGTTGCCTTTTGGCATCTACTCAAGTGGGAGCATTTCTCGGGAGCAAATCTGGTCCCACACTTGGCTAGTGAGTAGAGGGGTCCTTTGGGAAAGGAAAAAGGCACACAGCCCTTCTGTCCCTCTGAGGACTGGATTTCAGACCCCACTCATCCTCGTACAGGGCCTTTGTACAATGCCCATCTGCACAACCCTATCTTGGGGTGCAGGAGTCAGACAAGCTATGTTCTTGTTCCAGCCTGCAACTAACCTTGACCCACCAGCTTTTCTTCTTAGCGGTCCTGCTTCCTCAGTGGAAAACAAAACAGAGACAAAGGAGGTCGGATCTGAAAATCCCTGAGATCCTTATGCAAACCTATACTGGGGACTTGCTACTTGAAGGGCAAGGCGGAGGCCACTGACAGCAATACAGAAAAGATGTCTGTGATGTCCAAGTTTGGCTCTAATTTGCACCAGATCCTGGAAGCTGGTGGTTGGGTTTTGCTTTGCTTTCCTAAGATCCCATGTTGGCTTTACAGATGCAAAGTACTCTCTCTCTCTCAAGGTGGGGCTTATGCCTGTTCGTGGGGGGCTACTGGTGAGAGCACGGCAGCCAGGTGGGCTCTGAGGCCCCGTGTGAGTGCCCATTGCCGCAGGCTTCTCTCCCCCAGATGAGCCTTTTCAAGGGCATCGGAGCCACTGATCTCCAGCTCTGGCACCAATGGGGGATTGCCCAATAAGCAAGGAAAGCACCGCCTTCTTTGTGCATACTCGCTAATCTGTGGTGCACGCTTTCACGTGCTTTCCACCCGACAGAGCGTCACCTGTGTTCCAGCACAGCCTATTTTCACCCAGGTGAAACTGGTCACTCCTGCTTAGTAAGGAAGCACAAGGAAGGCAGTGAGTACCTTACTCCTTGGTACATCTGCCCCTCTCTGGAGTATTCATAAATCACAGAGCCCCGCCCCCAACCCAGACCCCCGTCACTAAAATGGCATCAAGCCAATGTTGCATTGAGGTCACTTGACTGAAGTTATGTTTTTAATCCCTGTGGTTGTGAGAGAGGTTCTTCAACCAACCGTGACAGGACCCTAAACCGTAAAGTTTGGAATGATTAATCATAACTAAATGCACAACGGGGAGCCAAGACACTGTAGATAGGGAGATTTCCTCCTGGGGCTTCAAGTTGGTGAATTAGACATCTAGGATGTGTGTGTGTGTGTGTGTGTGTGTTACCATCTGCTGGGTGAGCGCTGGGCTGCTAACCACAAGGTCTGCAGTCCAAACCCGCCATCGACTCCCCAGGAGAAAGACGAGGCTGTCTGCTAGGACAGCCTTTCAAGCAATGCCTACATTGGAATGGACTCGGTGGGAGGGGCTGGGTTCTAGTTTTGTGGTGCGTGTGCAGAGCGGGAGGGTTCTTTTGATGATTTCGGCGGTTGTCTTCATTTGTTTTTCTCTTGGAAAGTTATGACCAGCAATCAACTCGGTCTGATGATCAGTCCCTTGTTAGGATTTTTAAACAAACCAGACCGGCCAGCTCTCACCAGGACCTCTGGAGCAGACGTCTGTATCAACTGAGCCCAGAGAGCCTCCGGTTGTGAGCGCCTCATCTCTGCCACCTCGATTTTGCCCCACAGCAGGGTGAGCGTGAGGCTCACGTGGGTGAGAACAGGAAGCATGCGATGAACCCGTAGCACCTGCCCCACTGCCACCCACTGCCGCAAAGCCCCTTCTCCCCCTACCCGCTTGGCACTCTGCTGACACACCCTCTCTGGGGCTCCCACCCTGCTGCCAGGATTCAGGCCTGGTTGGATACCTTTGTGCCACTCCCCTTGCCCTCACTGGAAAGATGACGGAAAGATTTCTTTCCTTCCATCAGGAAGACGGAGACGACCGTGTGTGACTCACTCTGCTCGCGGCGTGCTTGTGGCACCAAGCAAGGTAGCGAGTGTGGGTTCATTTTGGAAAGCAGTGATGACTTAGGGGAACGCAAGAAAAGGAACCAGACAGGCCCAGGCCTCACCCCGAGTGCTTCAGGAACGTTCTAGGTGGTGCGTCTCTGTTCTCCGGGGTCGCGCTGTAGAGGAATCGACTGGAAGGTAATGGATTTGGTTTGGGTTGGGTTTGCTGGAGGGGGATTCAGAAAGCATGTGGAGGTGGGGAGATGGAATTTTGAAAGAATAGACTTCTTACAGGAACTTTTTAAGGCTCCATCGTCTTTCTGCCACGGCTGGTTGTAAGTGGACAGTGTGATGTCTCTCCACCCAGGTTGGGAGGAGGTGGCAGGACTGTCTTTCCCAAGGCAGGTGAGCCGGCTCCAGCGCATGCTGGACGCAGCCTGTGGGAGTCGCTGTTCTTTGTTGTT